TCCACTCACCTCAGCCTCCCAAAGCGTGGGATTACAGGCTGAGCCACTGAGCCCAGCTGGATAGAGCTTTCCAATGGCTTTTAACTTTTTTTTTTTGAGTTGGAGTTTCACTTTGTCGCCCAGACTGGAGTGCAGTGGCCGCTCCCGGCCACCGCAGCCTCGACCTGCTGGGCTCCGGCGATCCTTGCGCCTCAGCCTTCCAAGTAGCTGGAACTACAGGTGTGTGCTACCATGCCTGGCTAAACATTTTTTCAATTAAAAAGCATTCTTTCATTTGAAAGGAACTGGTTGTAAGCACATTTTCGAAAGAAGGAATGATAGGTGATAGTAAAAGTTAGGAGAGTTTGTAATTTGACTTTTCCTCTAAATTAAAAGTTTACAAAGTATCTCATTAACAGATTGGAGTTTTATATAAAGTTTTAATTTATTTTTATTTAGTTGGAGTCTCACTCTGTCACCTAGGCTGGAGTGCAGCAGCACACTCACAGGCACTACAACCTCGACCTGCTGGGCTCAGGGAATCCTTCCACCTCAGCCTTCCAAGTAGCTGGAACTACAGGCATGTGCCACCATGCCTGGCTAATTTTTTGATTTTTTTGTAAAGATGAGGTCTTGCCAAGTTGCCTAGGCTGGTCTGTATAAACTTTTTAAAGTGAAAAATTTAAGACCCTACTCAGAATTAATGGTAACCACAGTTGTTTGTTGGTTTGGTTTTTTTTTTGAGTTGGAGTCTCACTCTGTCGCCCAGACTGGAGTGCAGTGGCCGTTCCCGGCCACCGCAGCCTTGACCTGTTGGGCTCCAGCGATCCTTCCGCCTCAGCCTTCCAAGTAGCCAGAATTACAGGCATGCACTAACACGCCTGGCTGATTTTTTTGATTTATTGTAGAGATGAGGTCTCGCTGCCCAGGCGGGTCTCGAACCCGCGGGCTCAGGCAATCCACTCACCTCAGCCTCCCAGAGGCACAGGATTACAGGCTGAGCCACCGAGCCCGGCTTGGTAACCACAGTTGTAAATCATTGGACTAGAGGTGAACAGCCTCCATACTTGACTAGGATGCTTAATGAAGGAAGCTAAATTTTGTTTAACCTGGTGATCAGTTTTGTTTAATTTTGCAATTCTCAAACCTCCTTATAGAGGGCAGAATAAAAATCTTAAGAGATTGTGATAACACGTTAATTCAAGCCATGCAGAAAAAGCAGAAGTCCGGGAATTAAAAGATTTGGATTCTGTCAGGCTCAGTGGCTCATGCCTATAATCCCAGCACTTTGGGAGACCAAGGCAGGAGGATTGCTTGAGCCCAGAAGTTTGAGACCAGTGTAGGCAACACAATGAGAGCTTGTCTCTACAAAATATTATGTGAGCATGGTGGCACATACCTGTAGTTCCAGCTACTCAGGAGGCAGAAGTAGAAGGATCGCTTGAGCCCAGGTGTCTGAGGCTGCAGTGAGCTGTGATTATGCCACTGCACTCCAGTCTGGGTGACAGAGTGAGACCCCCAACTCAAAACCAACAAAAAAGAAGATCTAGATTCAAACTTAGTTCTGGTTCTTCTTTTTATTATGTCTGTGATCTTCTTTGGGCCCCAAGTGTTTTAGTGTATATGCTAAAGTAGAATTTGAAAAACAAAACTTTAATTTTGTTTTTAGGAAAATAAATTAGTACAGTTGTAGAAAATTTAGGAAATATACATGCACTCAAGGAGTTAAATCATCTGTAATCTTATTTCTCAGAGATAACCATTGTCCATATTTTGGTTTAGATACTTCCTATTTCCCATGGGTTTTGCTTTCCCCTGTTGGATGCTAAGGCTGTAGAATTTTTATTATCATTCTACTGTAATGTATAAAAACTAAACACAGTTTTTCTCTCCTCAGAAATGATGACCGGGAAATTTTATTGGAGTGTCAGAAAAAAGGGCCATCATTGAAAACATTTACATATTTAGCTGCCAAGCTGGATAAAAATCCAAATCAGGTAATTACCCTATTTTTGCATCTGTACTGGTTTTCAGATGTTGCTACTCTACTTAGATTTAAGCTGGATGTGCCATCTCATGCATGTAATCCTAGCCAGGAGTTTGAGACCAGCCTGGGCAACATAGTGAGACTAGTCTCCACAGAAAAAATAAGATTCGTTAGGTGTGGTGGTGCACACCTGTAGTCCCAGCTACTTGGAGGCTGAGGTGGGAGAACTGCTTGAGCAATGATTATGCCACTGTACTCCAGCCTGGGTGACATAATGAAACCATGTCTCTACAAAAAAAAAAAAAAAATCACTTGGATTTAATTTTTTTTTTAAGTGATGGGGTCTCACTGTGTTACCCAGACTAGAATCAAACTCTTGGCGGACTTAAATTTAGTTGTTTTTTGTTTTTTTTTTTTTGAGTTGGAGTCTCACTCTGTCACCCAGGCTGGAGTGCAGTGGCATGCTCACAGCCAATACAACCTAGACCTGCTGGGCTCAGGCAGTCTGTCCACCTCAGCCTTCCAAGTAACTGGAACTACAGGTGTGTGCCACCTTGTCTGGCTGATGTTTTGATTTATTGTAGAGATGAGGTCTTGCCGTGTTGCCCAGGCTGGTCCCAAGCCTGTGAGCTCAGGCAATCCTCTCGCCTCAGCCTTCCAAAGTGGGATTACAGGTGTGATCCCACACCTGGCTAAATTTAGTTTTTAATGTGTTAAAATATATAGATATTTATTAGCCAATTTTCTTTAAAAGTATTGCTCAGTGTAAGACTATTAAAAACTTGGTGATAGTGGAAGACATGTTATTGGAACAATCTTGATTATTTTTCCTGTGTCTTAGTAACCATTTACTTATTTTTATTTTTTTATTTTTGAGTTGGAGTCTTACTCTGTCACCCAGACTGGAGTGCAGTGGCCGCTCCCGGCCACTGCAGCCTCGACCTGCTGGGCTCCGGCGATCTTTCCACCTCAAACTTCCAAGTAGCTGGAACTACAGGCGCGCGCTACCATGCCCAGCTGGTTTTTTTCGATTTATTGTAGAGATGAGATCTCGCCAAGCTGCGCAGGCGGGTCTCGAACCCGCGGACTCAGGCAATCCACTCACCTCAGCCTCCCAAAGGCACGGGATTACAGGCTGAGCCACCGAGCCCGGCACCATTTACTTATTTTATTTCAGGCAATTTTGTAATAATGTTTATTTGCTTAAGAAAGTTTAGAGCAACCCCCTCAGGCCTTCTCCCACTCTGGGAACTTTTCTGTTCTCTCAATAAATTTTGCTTAAAAAAAAAAAAGAAAGCAAGCCAGGCACAGTGGCTCACGCCTATAATCCCAGTACTTTGGGAGGCCGAGGTGAGAGGATTGCCTGAGCTCATGGGTTCGAGACCAGGCAGGGCAACCTGGAGACACCTCATCTCTACAATCCAAAAAAAAAAAAAAA